ACCCATCATCATCATCATCATCATCATCATCATCATCATCATCATCATCATCATCATCATCATCATCATCATCATCATCATCATCATCATCATCACTAAAGCTAAGTCCACACAGTACAATAATAAGCATTAGCCATTCTTCATTGGTCGTTGTTTCAGTCTATCACCCTTTTCAACGCGGGACCTCCGAACAAAACGCCCATCTACAATTAAATAGGAACTGCCAAGTGGGTGAAGCGCCTTAAAAAATATCCCCAAAACAACTCAAATTCAGAACGCCCCGTCATGGATTTGAGCCATGACCATCCGCTTCGTAGTTTAACATGATACCAATTGAGCTAACAGTGCTCTCAGCTGTTCGTCAAGTCTGTCTCTGATTTCAGATATTACTTTTCAGGAAAAGAGCATAAAACATGATTATATCACACACTGACAAGTGTATCCAGGATGTTCCGTGTTTATAAGGTGCACTTAATAAGTTAATAGAGTTGCTCCTTTGACTGGAGTGTAGCCGCTTTATTTTGGTGGTGTGAAGTGTGGAGAGACTCAAGACACGTCATTTTTTGTTCCCAAATTTTCCACAAACTAAAAGTATGCACAGAAAAAATGGCTTTCTTTTCGTTGTATACTTATGCATTTAATTGTGGAGGTCGTTATGTTGATGTTTCTGATGAGAATAAACAGAATTTAATGTTTTTCAAACCAATAAAGGCAGGGAGATGTCAGTCTAGTGGTTAGGCTTCCGGACTCGTAATCTTTAGATTGCGGGTTCGGGAATTCGAGACTCAGCTCGCTCCAATGTTTCGATGTTGTGTCTTATGGAAAAAGCACCTAACACGAATTTTCCCATTTATTGGTTCAGTCATGTCGGTAATGGACGTTATATTCAGAGGCCCAGCTTCTAAATTAACCCCACAGTACTGCAACAGGTGTTAAACCTAAATGATTTTTGCTTTTTTCAGTTAAGGCGTAGACGTCTATTCTAAAGTTATGCAAATCTTATTCATTGACAAGCATAAATATTGTTTTCCAAAGACAGACTGTGGTCCGACGGAGGTAAAATGTCGTGAATCCATTATAAAAATGATTCTAGGAATGTAACTGAACCGAAATAAAGAGGGAAATTATTAATGGCGTATACACGATCTGTCTCTTACTTTGTCCAGTAAAAACTGAGGAAAGAATGTGAATCCATTTGACCTTATCTACCATTTTTATGTGTGTCTCCCAAAGGTGTTCAATCCCCGCTCTCAGATGTCTGCACCCTGAATAATTCAATCGATTCAAGAGAGATGAGGCGCAAAATGCGCACGGATTCTGGCGTCTGTCTAAGTAAAGATCTTCAAGCACGCGAGGAGCGTACCAACGACAAAGCTCCAAGGAATTCTTCCGCCCGCCGTTCTTTGCAGCTACTAAAAGCATTTCTGATAACTCCTGAATATCACTCTCCGGGGAGCAAATCAATGGAATGTCCGTCTCGGGCACAGACGCTGCGTTGCATCATGCGGGGCAATACGTTCTTTCATGAGGAATCCCGAACCCTGAGACAAACATCTAAATGTGTGACTGCTGTATCAGCGAATGGCCAGGGATTGTAAATATCCACAGATTCTCCAAGAGCTGTTAAAGAATTCTGGGGGAAATTCAAGTTTAAAAAACAAGCAAACAATGAACCCCACAACATTTCACAAGCTTGTTGATGTATGCTCTAAACACCCGTGTGTTCTCACATTAGCTTAAAAGCTTCTGGGAGTTAATACATTAATAGGCAAACAAAACAAAAATAAAAAACAAATCTGAAGTGTTTGACAGGTTTTTACAAAATCTCTCAAAATAAGGATAGACGTTTTTGATTTCCTGTATTTTGCTGTGTCACAGCACAGAGCTATTATTGTTTCGCATTATACTGGGTTGCAAAAGTTCTGTCTCACCCATTATATTACGATACTTTTTTGTACAGCGTAAGAATTGCAGAAAAAAATGAAAAGTATCACTTGTGTGACTTATGAGACTCCTTAAGCAAGAGCGGACGAAAGAAATCATAAACCGGAAGTAGTTCGTGGGCAAAGTGTTGGTATTGATTTTTCTCGGTCTCCGTTGAAATCAATGCTTCCTATACACACAATTTATCTTGAATGAACTAGAGAATGTGTAAACACACCTTACACACTATAAAAATCCCGTACCTTTTAACGGTTAGGTCGTTTTTTCACAAAATAACAAAACTGATAAATGCAGAAAATAAAGGCGCTGTGTGTCTGATAAATTCTTTAATTGCGCTTTCTGCTGTTGCAAGACACGTAAATGTGTGCAGAAAGACCTTCTATTACTAACGATTGAACAAACGTTTTAACACCACTATAACTGTCGAAGAGAACCCTAGACGTGGCCTACCAAGGGCGACAATTCGACGTCAGAATAAGGTTATCGTCGACCCCCATGTTTGAAACCCGTTCCAACTAAGTGCAGAGACTGCTAGATACTTCAAACTGTCTTAAAACACCACACTTATTAAACATTTATATGATCGTGGATTACGTGATTATCGTCCTTTATGTGGAGCCATTCTAACAATGTTTCATGGAAGAAGTTGCCAAATTTTGGCACAGCAACATTGGCAATGAAACTGAAGACGTCGGTAAAGTGTTCTATTCAGCAATGTCTAAGGTTTTTATTTCGTTGTGTTGATGGAAGAGAAAAACGTGTTTAAAAGAAGAGGATAGACATTTCACAAATCCAACGTCCCACCCACAAGTCGCCCGAATCGGTAGCTGAAATGTGATGGTATGGGGTGGAATCTCTACCCTTTATCGTACACATTTGGTTACTTTTCAAAGCAACCTCAAAGGAAGACTGTATTGGGATGAAATTCTTCGTCACGGTGACTGCCCTACATGACACGGATGATGGAATGTGCTAACAAGACAACGCCGGATCACAAATGGCCACGATCAGTGAAAACTCTTTCCAAACTCGTCAAATCAATGTTCTGGACTGGCCTGCAAGAACAACAAGCCTAACCAAACAGATCATCTGTAAGATGACCTTGATTCGAAACAGGCCGCACTCCGCATAAACTCGTCAGGAACTGAAGGCAGCACTTCACAAAGAATGTCAGGGGATTCTTCCGACAACCATAAAGACATTAATTCGGTCAATGAACATACGTTTTGTATCGGTAATTCAAGCTAGAAGAGGCCACACGCGATATTGAGCTTTGATTTGGATTTTGCAAGGGTCAGTGTGAATATTATTATCTCCCTTGAGTAAGGAAAGACCTTTGTCAATTCTTTTAATCTCATGCTGGCAGAAATAAATAATGATTGCGTGTACCAAATTTCTCTTTACTATTCTGAATAGTAAATGAGTTATAGAACTTTTAAGGTGGGTGTGACAGAGCTTTTGCAACACGGTATACTTCTGTCCACCTGTCACGGCTTAATAAAGAAATTGTGCAATACTTAAACATTTTTTATACAGATCAGTAAATTCACACCTGGATCAAGGACTACATAGAGTAAGAGAATCGCACCAGGAAGTATTACCCCAAAAAAACTTTTACAAGTCAGAACCAGTGAACACATCTATAAAAATGTTTTGACGAAGAGGCGTCTGCGGTAAACAAAAACATTAAGTGTCTGTTCGGTATTTTCTAATCACTTATATTGTGAGGCATCGTGGTGAAATCAGGCGCTCGTCAACATAATCAAACAGAAAAAAGCGTTTTTGACTCCAGTTAGGCAATTCTTATTGAATTTTTGTTTTTTGGCCCAACACCGTTTATGTAAAAATAAAAACATTTCCATGTGAATTCTTACTGAAAAACGTTGATTAATGGCACAAACAAATATTATGTAGATTTTCAGTTTTCAAGAACTCTCAAGCTATCGAAGTTACCAAAGTCAGCCCTGAAATCATGCTACCCCCACCTCTTCAATTTGAACATTTTAATATCTCGATTTCTATTCAAGGTAGATTAGTGTTTCTTCTTCATAGAAAGCAAGGCAAATGAAAAAGCTTTCAGGTGACACTATTAACTCCACATGCCCAAAAATTGACGAGCGCGTGACTCCACCACGTCGTTTTAATTATTATGATAATACTATTATCTGAAACAGGCGACAAAGGTAAAACTAACGCTTCACTTCGAGAAAAAGAATTGAAGCTTTCAGCTATAGTATGGTGGCTTTTGTCCCCCTCAGTGGCTATTCAGATCTGATGTATAGCTTCGTTCTTGAACCAAGATATCATAATTATGACATTTTCAAATTTCATAATATGATTTTAAAAAATATACTTCATTTTATGAATGTGAGAAACTTACTTACTTATATAACGGGCCTCGTGAGTATCGTTAAGTCTTATATAGAGGAGTCGTCCGTCGAAAAAAATCCACGTGTATAATTTAATGCGCACTTTTAACCTTTTGTGGGGGAAACTCCTGAGAATCAAGAGACTACTCTTCATTAGGTATTGAAACGGACACGGAACTACACTATGATGATAACTATGATGATGCTGATCAACATCATCATAATCATCAGGACAAGGAGAAAGAGGAGGAGAAGCAGAAGGATGAGAAAGGGGTGGCAGAGAGAATGGAGAAGATGGTGAAGATTGAAGAGGAGGAGAGGATGCAGAGGAGGGGAACGGGGCTGCAGAGGAAAAGGAGGAGATGGAGAAGGTTGAAGAAGAGGAGAAGATGCCAAGGAGGAGGAGTAAAGTTGGAAGAGGAGGAGGAAGGGGTGGTTGTGCAAGAATGAAACGGAGGAGGAGTGTATGGAGGAGGGAATGAACAAGCCTCGACGGTGCTAAGAAAGATCCCATAGGGACTTACATGAAAAGAGGTAAACTTGAGCGGGTAGACAATGGCCAGGTATCTCTCTGCCGCCATGCAGCACAAGGTCAGGGCGTTGGCCGCTATGCTGACCTGGGTGAAGAACGGAACCAGCTTGCAAGCTAGACTGCCCAGTGTCCAGTCTGTGGTCAGTGCCTGGGCCAAGTTCATAGGAATGCAAGTGATGCTGCCAAGTAGGAAGTGAAGAAAAGATACAAAACAAAACTCTGAAGTAAAAAATGATTATGTTATTATAGTTATTGTTTTATAAGCACCCCCCCCCCCTCAATAATCATCAGTATAAAAATGTTCTTAGGCTGGAGACAGTAAACTCTTTTTTATTAAAGCTGTAGAGAGGAAGAGCCTGAAACAGCGACACATTTTATCCTGATGATCTCCACGTTAGAGTCCGGGATACGGAGCTTCCGGCTGTAATAAATGCATATGGCTGTTTTTAGACTACGTAGTTACTGTTTTATAAGTGCCCCCCCCCCCCCCATATAATCATCAGAATAAAAAATATGTTCTAAGGCCGGAGACAGTAAACTCTTTTCTATTAAGGATAAAAAGGCGCGCACGTCTGGCCCAGAAGACACAAGACTGATTACTTAATATTATGACAAAGAGATTGTTGTTTTATTTCGGTAAGTGTTTACAGTGCTCGCAACTGCATAATGTCTTATGAGCGCACTGGACACATTAAACATTTTCTGTAGGTAAGAAATTTTGAATTTTGCCCGGATGGCGGCCGAAGCCTACTCTTATAGATTTAAGACCACAAAGGGATCTTTAACGTGCGCAACTTGTACAAGGGCCCTCAGAGATTTTTTGCCCTTGTCCGAGAAGGCTTGGTGTAGATCTTTCCTACCAGAAGATCAGGGGGGGGGGGCGGCTAAAAGACAGCAGTAAGAAGGAGCCAAGGAGTAGCAGTAGAAAGGCTGCAGAAAGAGTCAGGAGCCCAGAGGAGGGGGCAAAGAAGGTGACTGGGTGGGGGCATAAAGTGGAGACGAAAGCAGACGACAGAACATTACTTGAGAGCAGGAAAGGAGGGGAAAGGAGACTATTTTAGAGATGAATTTTTTTTCGGTCGCTACCTTGATTCGTACCCGGGACCTTTGAATGAGAGGCGAACACATTAACCTATAGGCCACGAGAGCCCCCAAAGAGAATGTGTGCGGAGAGCATTCTGGCTTTATTTTAACATAACAAAATACGTAGTGGTTAAAATGCACACGACGTCATGAAATGTGTATCGTCAAGACGCCAAAGAACTATACAGCAAACATTACTTTTCGTTTACAAATGATTCAAATCATGTGTGAAAAGATGGAAAGTCAAGACAAAATCTACTGAAACTTTCTTGTCTAGCGCTACGGCCTCGGACCTGCAGCTGTCAGAAAGGTGTGAGTTCGATTCCCTGCTTTGTCGAGTAGACCAGCGCCTTTGGTTTACTGTTAATGCGCTTCGCTGCCACACGCAGAAGACGTCAGTTCGATTCCAGCGTGGGGGTGGCTTGTTTGGGTTTTTTAAAACCCAATTTTCCGGATTTTTTTGCTGGAACATTGTACTCCTCTCAGTCAGGGTTGGCCCTGATAGGCAGCCCATCTCTTAACTTGCGTCGATGGGGGCGTAAAATATCTGCAGTTTACATTTCTTTGTCTGTGGAGCAAGGCATTGTGTGTTTAGGAGAGATGTATTGCTCTATTTTCTCCTGTTTTACAAGCTATTTTTCCAGCTGCATAGTAAGAATATGAGTACTAGGCTTTCGACAAAGACGGAAAATGAATATGGTAGTGAGATCCGCCGTACATTGAACACTGCGGTGCGTTCCGTCCAGGGGACTGAAATGGTAATTTACATTGAACAGACAAGGGACTTTTCGTGAAGCTGTGTGATACTTTAGGGGAATGCTTGACTGTAAATAAACTTTATATCTTTGTTTGTAAGCCAGGGCAAAGTACCAGTAAAACACCCCTTAACGTACACGAGAATAGAGAGGAACGAGGGTCAATATATATTTTTTTAAGCAACGGTCAGACAAAATGAAGATACAGTGTAGATCCCTGCTTTAAATGACTTAGACTGAAATATTTTTCCAAAATGGATTTGGCTCTTCTAGTTTATCAACAGAACCAATTTTATATTTTCTCCGTACTTGTGTCGCCTCATTGTAGCAATCGTTTGAGTAATAACGTCAGTAGAGAGGAACTTATAAGAAAATATTAGACTCCCTAAAAGCTCTCGCTTCTGAAACAAACTCACATTTCTGTGCCAACACACGTTTGGAAAATGAAAACTTACAGAAACGTGTTTTCAATAAACAATAAATGTGTTCAACTAAAATAATTTTTTTTAAAATCATTATAAAAATTGCTCAATGGAAAGAAAAATGTTGGTGTCTTTGAATTTATTATCTTGGCGAGCGCCTGATTTTACCACGATGCCACACGTATAACTACTATAAGTGCTCAGTTTCACTCTTCACCAGCCCTCACCAGTGAATGATATTAAGAAGAGGTACTGGAGGAAGGGTTGGAGAGAAAAATAAACCCATAAAACACCCATAGAAGATACAGACCCTTATTAGATGGAAAAACACTCAGATGTACATTGTTATTGTTGAAGACGAAAAGCCTTCTTTTCTTGCCTTTCCTTTCATTGCTTCCTTTTTATCTAATTTTTTCGACCTCACCCATTGATCACCTTTCCAAAGTGCCGTTTTTGTGTAGTATTATAAAAGCAATTCGTATCACAACTGTACTTTGAATCTTGTGTATTCTCTGTGCAAGTCTTAAACAATATTGCATAATGGACTCTCTCTCTCCCTCTCCTCTCTCTCTCTCTCTCTCTCTCTCTCTCTCTCTCTCTCTCCCTCTCTCTCTCTCTTTCTCTCTCTCTCTCTCTCTCCCTCTCTCTCTCATTTTCTCTCTTTATCTCTCTCCCTGTGTGTGTATGTGTGTGTATGTGTGTGTGTATGTGTGTGTGTGTGTGTGTGTGTGTGTGTGTGTGTGTGTGTGTGTGTGTGTGTGTGTGTGCGCGTGTGTTTGTGTTTGTTTAGCTCTTGCAGAAAATTTTCATAAATTTTGTTCACTGTTTATGCTGAAATGCCAGGTTGCATCAAAATGCTGTTATTGAAAGTGTTTCTCTTCAGCAGAATCAGAGATAAAGGACGAAATGGAGGTAAGCACATCTGGCGTAGTAGAGCTTTGCCTTAGCTTGGTATTGAAGCAGACTGTCCCCCCCCCCTTTCCCCACCCCAAAGCGACAATAAACAAACAAACAAACAAACAAACAAACAAACAAACAAACAAACAAAGCAAATGGATGAACAAAATCCCAACAATATATTTAACGTCAAAACAAAAGTGAAAAAACAACAACAAAAAACCACACCCCTGCAAAAATAGGGCAGAACATTATTACAGCACCCAAAAATGGTGCCCATTCATAAACCTCAATAATACCCTTGATATATTTCTCAACGTTTCCCCTTAATCTTTCTAGCTCTAAATAATGAAACAGAGAAACAATTTACATTACCCAGAGGACTGAAAAGGCAACAAGGAAGCCATTACGCGACTTAAGGAGTGTTTCGCGTAACGCGTCAAAGGCTCCTTACACCGGAAAACTGATAAAATAATAATATATTGTCATGTTGTTTCAGCTTTTATATAGCCAAACTAGGTTAGGGCGAAGTTGCAGAGCGCGTTATCTTTTGACGTCATTTACCTAAGAATAGAAAGGGGATTATCCCTAAGGGACATAACTTTTTTTCTTTGACAGACAAAAAAAATAATATCCCAAGACGGCCGCCTCTTTTTCCAACATAGACAAGCTGAACAATGATGAAAAATAACATGCTTGATTCCATCTGTCGACAGCTGTCGTAAAAAAAAACCGTCAAAAAGTACACACAAACACACACAATACTCTGTCAAGCAAACCTTGTAATATCGTTGTGGTTAAAAATGTATTCGAATAAAACGCAGATCTTCACAAGTGCAGAGAGCTTATAACTCTCTTTGCAAACATTCTATATCCAACCAGGGCACTGGAAATTGAGAATAACTGTGTTATCAGTTTATGGGTGATGGAATTGATCGATCCACGGGTTCCAGAAAATTCCACGAAATGTCTTCAGCTTCGGGTTATTGGCTCAAGGAATGAACCAAGGTTTAGCCCGGTGTATATTGATATCAGGAGCTTTCTCATCACGTTCAAAAATGCCTCTTTGAGAATGCAAAGCAGGCTTGCCTTCATCAAATTCCACACGCTACCAGCTGAACAAGCAGTGCGCATTTTAGAAATTCAAACCTGTCTCAGAATGTTTTTGGGTTTTTTTTATAATGTGGGTGTTTTACGCGTCTGTCTACAGATTTTATATAAATTTTGGGGGTATGGAGGCGGGATTTGACCTTGCCTCTCAGGGCCAATCTCGTCTAAGAGGGATACAACGTGCAAGGAGAAAGACCGTGATCCTCATTAAACATTCTCTCAACACAAGAATCGAGCTCGTATCATATGCGTGCGACGGCGATAAGCTCAATTGTTATTCCGGGTGCCCATTGACACGATTGGGTAGGGTCGGGTCGGTTTGCTATTCAGATTGAGGGCGCAAGGTTGTTGTGGTGGCACTAACCGATTGCCCGACTCGTCGCTTCAAAAACAAACGCGTTTGTTTTAATACGGGGTGCCCACAACGGTTGGATCGTGCCGATCGCCCGACTCCGTCTCCTGAAACTGAAAACAAACACGTTTGTTTTTTAGGCGACCGATTCGGGCGATCGGCCCGATCGGCCGATCCCATCCGTAGTGGGCACTCCGTATAAGGCAACGAGTCAGACGATCGACCTGACCTGACCCGATCCCTTCCGCAATAGCCACCCGATATAACACCTCAGAGACTGGTTCAGAACATGTGCCAGTCCAGGAAACAAAATCACCAAGCCATAACACAATGCACAGTCTTCGAAGCTTGTGTGTATGCTACAAAGCAGGCAAGCTACAAATAAACGCCATTACATAAGCTTTAATTATCTGTTTTATCGAAATGAACACATTAATCTGCCTGAGCCAAACGTATCGAACCATACTGAGATATTTGGGAAGTATTCCCGCGCCAATTCAGATCTAAATGTTTGTCGACTTTGCTGATGACCTGTACCATAATTATGTCAGTTTCTCAGTCTCCGAGATTGTCTAAGCATGGTATCTAGTAATACTTAACAATAAGGATCTTGGTGTGTTTGGACACAAAAATTCAAGTAAACAGACACTTAACCCTATCCGTACGTCGTGTTTTACTACCGTATCCATACGACGTGGGGAACTCTGTGCCCCACTTTCCAATGAGGAAACTTACTAGTTAATCCGATCCGTACGCTTTGCATAGCAGTCTGTCAAAATGATTTTTTTGGAGAAATACTGAAAGTTCAAAGAGATCTTCGTACTAGAAGTATTCTAAAATGTGAAGAATACAACACCGGGGGTACAAATGACCCCATGGTGTACAGATAGGGTTAATAAATGTGCTCAGGATCGTAATACTGCCATTAGATCGTATCCAAACTTGTGAGTCCAACCAATGTAGCAACGTTCCCAAAACAAAACAAAAAATAAGCAAAACAGAACAAAATAAGCTACTCTCAGACAACACCTGAAGTCGCACTGTTTTGAAATATTTTAAA